GTCTGAGCACACAGAATGGGATGGAGTTCCTGCAGGCCCAGAAGGTGGGTGGGAGTGGGGGATAGCCACACCTCCATTCACCAAGCAGGTGTAGGGTATAAGAGTCACAAAGGTAATGTCACACCTTTCCAGCCATCCAGGTCTGGGATGCCTTTGGGGTTACAGGCAAGTGGAACCTGTTCTTAAGCCCCTGGAATCTGGGAGAATGCTGTTGCTTTAAATATCCAAAATGGTCAAGCTGGTTGTAAACATTCAAAATGGCTGCACCCTCCAAACAGGCAAAAGTCCACAGCTCAGCCTGCCTTCCTCTTCGCTGCTGCTTCACCTTTTATTTCCCAGCCACCAGAGCAGTCCTCCGTGTAGTCCCTGCCTAGCAGGGCTGATTTTTAGGTTTATTCTTATGTCCTACCACCACTTGGCAATCTCTGAGCTGTCTGTGCCATCAGGATCGCTCTGGATCGCTGCCAGACCACAGCTCCGTATGTCTCCTTTTTTGGTATTTTCATGCAAATTCTTCTGCTAGTTGGAGTTTAGTCCACTTCTATATTCTTCCCTTCAAGGCTCAGGGGTCCAGGATTATCTTCTGTGTCTGAGTTAATTGGTTCCCCTTTTCTTTGTTGAAGAGGGTCTGTGCAGTTTTTCTGTCTATTCCTCCATCTTACCAGAACTCTGCTCCTTATCTCTTTAAAGAGGTCTTTTGCACCAGATTTGCCCAAAGCAATACATTGTTTGATTTCTTGCCTGCTGCTTCCATACGTGTTGATTGTGGATCAAGTAAAATGAAATCCTTGACAACTACAATCTTTCCTCTGTTTATCATGATGTTGCTTATTAGTCCAGTTGTGAGAATTATTGTTTTCTTATGTTGAGGTGTAATACATACTGAAGGCTATAGTTTTTGATCTTCATCAGTAAGTGCTTCAATTCTTCTTCACTTTCAGCAAGCAAGGTTGTGTCATCTGTATACTGCAGGTTGGTAATTAATCATCGTCCAATCCTGATGCCACATTCTTCTTCAAATAGTCCATCTTCACAGATTATTTGCTCAGCATACAGTATGGTGAAAGGATACAACCCTGATGCACACCCTTCCTGATTTTAAACCATGCAGTATTGTTTTATTCGAATGACTGCTTCTTTGTCTATATACAGGTTTCTCATGAGCACAATTAAATGTTCTGGAATTCCTCTCTTCACAATGTTAACTATAATTTTTATGGTCCACACAGTCAAATGCCTTTGCATAGTCAATAAAACACAGGTAAACTTCCTTCTGATACTCTTTGCTTTCAGTCAAGATCTGTATGATTTCGGCAATGATATCCTTTGTTCCATATCCTCTTCTATATCTGGCTTTCATTTCTGGAAGTTCTCTGTCGGTATACTGCTGCAATAGTTTTTGAATCCAGCAAAATTTTACTTGCGTGTAACATAAATGATACTGTTCAGGAATACCTGTATTCTGTTGGATCACCTTTCTTTGGAATGGGCACAAATATGGATCTCTTCTAGTCAGTTGGTCAGGTAGCTCTCATCCTAATTTCTTCGCATAAACACCTGACCACCTCACATACTGCATCCATTTGTTGAAACATCCCAATGGATATTCTTTCAATTCCTGGAGCCTTGGTTTTTTGCCAATTCCTTCCTTCAGTACCATTGGTTGTTGATTATATGCTACTTCCTGAAATGGTTGAACTTCAATCAATTATTTTTGGTATAGTGACTCTGTGTAGTTCTTCCATCTTCTTTGGGTGCCTCTTGCATCATAATATTTTGCCCACAGAATCTTTCAATATTGCAACTCAAAGCTTGACTTTTTTCTTCAGTTCTTTCAGCTTGAGAAAAGCCACACATGTTCTTTCCTTTTGATTTTCTAACTCCAGGTCTTTGTACATTTCATTATAATAATTGACTTTGTCTTCTCGAGCTGCTCTTTGAAATCTTCTGTTCAGCTCTTTCACTTCATCATTTCTCCCATTTGCTTTATTCACTATTGTGAACAGTGCTGTAATAAACACAGGTGTACAAGAATAAATTGGGTTTTTTGTTTTTTTGCTGTATATATCCAGATTCAGTGCTTCCTTCTTTATATAAATTTATGTTTTAACTGAATGTATGGGAGCCTATGAGATGAAGACCTCTGATGGTGTAGTGCCTAAGGCATTTGACTGCTAATCAGAAGGTTGGTGGTTCAAACACATCAGCCACTCCTAAGGAGGAAGGTTGGGCAATCTACTTGTGTAGTGATACTGCCTCGAAAACCCGAGAAGGGGTCACTATGAGGCAGACCCAACTCAACAGTATTGAGCTTCTTGGAGCATGAGATAAAGAGGCCAGATTTTAAAGGTTCATTAAATACACTCTCAGGCAAGTTGTCTATGTAAGTAGAGCTTTTGATTTTCCAGAATAGAACAAACGTATGTGAAACTATTTATTTATTTAGCCAATGTTAGGGCAGCCCTGTAAACTAAACCATCCTGGATCTCTGCTTCACAAAGCATGTGAAGCTTTAGAACAGAAGCTATTGTGATGTTCTGGTCACTTAATAGTATAGGCTTTCACTGACGATATTCCATTTCCTATACTGTAGATTGTGGGATGTAGGGAATCTAATGTGGTGAATGCCTTGGTGAGGCACTGTGGTAGTTATGTTTGGGTGTCAACTTGGCTGGGCCTCGTTGAGTAGCTGGGCAGCTGGTGGTAGTTATTCCCCATGAGGAGATTGGAAATCAAGTCCATGGTGGGATCTACTACAAGTAGCTGAGTAGCTGCCTTTGGGATGTGGTCTGCTTCCTGTATATAAGGAGAAGCCTTGGGAATGGTCTCTAGCCTGTGGCACGCTTGGATCCTGCATGTACCCGTGTCGTTGCTCAGCAGCCTGCTGTGCTGTGCCGACCTTGGGACTTACAATGGACTTAAGTCAATGGCCTGTTGTCTGATTTGGTAATATCAGGACTCTGCCTTTTTACTTGTCAACCTTGGGGCTTCTCAGCCTCAGCAGCCAGCAGCTGTCTGAGTGAAGAAATGCCTCTAGCTCCAGTGGGCCAGGAGCAGGAGGCAGAGGTGGACCCCAAGGTTGAGGGGCTTTCACCCAGCCCCTAGAGCCTGGCACTTTGAACTTGGACTTAAAGCCTCCAAACTGTAAAAGAATAAACTCCTGTTTGTTAAGGCCATCCCATTTGTGGTATATTCTTGTCAGAGTGGCACTAGGTAACCAGAACAGGCACATTATCTTTCAGAATTAGAGTCAACCCAGAGATTGTTATTGCTGGTCCTGTCCTGGGGGTTCATTGGCATAATCACTTGTTCCTAAACACCTTCATTGAAGGTGTTTATTGCAATTCTACTTCAAGCCAGGTAGTATATTAGATATGTGGAATATGATGATACAGCTTCTGCCATCAGAAAATTCATCAGGTAGTGGAGGAGACAGACCTTGCAGACATAATGTTCATTCTGAGATTTGATGGATGATAAAAGTTGTCAGGTAAAAAGGAAGTACTACATGGTACTGCTCACTGCAAAAGGGAGACAGTAAGGTGATGAATTGAACATCAGTATGGCCAAAGAGGGAGTCTGGTGGTGTAGTGCCTAAAGCATTTGACTGCTAACCAGAAGGCTGGCGGTTCAAACCCACCAGCCACTCCTCGGAAGGAAGACTGGGCAACCTACTTCCCTAGAGATACTGCTTCAGAAACCCAAGGAAGGGTTGCTATAAGTTGAATAGACTCAATGGCTGTTAGTTTGGTTGTTTTTTGGCTAAAGAAGGAGCCCTAGTGAATGCAGTGGTTAAGCACTCAGCTACTAACTGAAAGACTGGCATTTTAAACCCACCAGCTGCTTCACGAGAGAAAGACGTGGCAGTCTGCTTCTGTAAAGATTGCAGCATTGGAGACTTTTGGGACAGTTCTACTCTGTCCTACGGAGTTGCTGTGAGTTGGAATCAACTCTAGGGTTCGAGTTTTAGTTATAGCTAAAGATTAAACTGAAAGTGCAAAGAGGCTGCTAGATCTGGAAAGGGTCAGATCATACAAGAGTTTGTGATGCTTGTTAAGCAGGTTTGGAATTTATCGTAAGGGCAATAGGAAGCCTTTGAAAGGTTTTAATAGTACAATGACATGTAGATTAGTGTTGTTTTTTTAAAATTATCCTTATATGCTACAACATGGATGAACCTTAAAAAGATTATATTGAATGAAATAAGTTAGTACAAAAGGACAAATATTACAGGATTCTCCTTTTATGAAATATCTAGAATAGGCAAATGTACAGAGACCAAAATTACCAGGAGAAGGAGGAAGGGATGGGAAAAGGTGGACTCACTGCTTAGGGGACACTGGGCTTCTGCTAAAGGGGATAGGGAAATTTAGAAACATGATAAATATAACTAATGTCAATGAATTGAATATGTGAAAAATGTTGAAAAGGCAAATGATTTGTTATATTTATTTATATAA